AACGGTTTGAAAGCTTTGAAACCGTACTTTTCGAAAGATCTATCGAAATTGTGCGCAACGATATTTTTTCAAAATAGCGGGTGATAAAAAGGAGAACATGAAAAGTTGCTAAAAAAAGGTTCGAGCGTGCGACGGCGCACGGAGCAAAGTAAGTGTCGCAGCTCAATGGGACGAAAAGTACCTAAAAGTATAGAATGTTTTCTTTAAAATACTTCGTTATAGAGCTTGATGCGATATTTATTCACTGAATTATGCAAATTTAACAAGAAAACCGCATTTTTAGCAAAATTTGGAACAACTCAGTGAAAAATGATCACATCGAGCTCGGTAAAGTAGCATTGTAAAGATAACACTCTATACTTTCATGTGCACTTGGTCCCATTACGCTGCGATACCTGATGCACACCATGCACCATTGCAAACACGGACCTTTGATTATCAATTTTGCATCCTCTCACTTTATCATCCGCCATTTTGAAAAAATGGCCGAGCATAATTGCCATTCAGATATTCTTAAAGAGGACGTTTCAAGCTTCATTTTGCATTTCTGCGCATATTTGTATCTTCATTATTTACCAAGTTATGATCATTTGAAATTTTGTAATTTTTTCCCAAATTTTTAGTGTACCGGGTTTTTTGCGTTTGAGTGTATATATAAATTTTATATATATACATACAAATGTATTAATTAAAAAATGTATGCAATAAATACTAATTATATATAATATATACCTCTTTTTGAATTGTGTGTCCATTCTCCTTTATAAAACATAGAAAAGGCTGTTTGTATAATGAATTTATCTTCCTATTCTTTTGTAACATATATATTTTTATTCGTAAGAGTAAAAAAATATAAATTAAAAAAAGTAACAAGACACAAACACGCAATCTGGCGAGTACTAGCACTGCGCTCAGTCTGCTGCGCTACACCGTCATTCTGAAGTAGCTCTACAAATGTTAGAATAACGGGGCATACTTAAAATCGCGAAATTTCAATTTGTAATTTCTCCCAAATGCTTGAGTGTTGCATCGTCTCCGGTTAACAGTAGTTTTTGCTGGACCTATACTACATTTCTGCCAAAGCTCATCAAAATCAGTGACTCCAAGTTTGGCAGCAGCCCTTGTCAGATTATAGCCCAGAAAGATCTCGCGTCGCTGAGCGAGAACGAGAGCGAGAAAGAGGGAAAGATATTCTCGCTCGCGTCGCTCAGCGAACACGAGAGCGAGAAGGAGGGAATGATATCTCTCTGTCGCTCGGCGCGCCGACGATTGCCGAGCGCATGGTCCACACGGATAGACTGAGCCGGCTATGTGTGCGTGCGTGGTGGGGGAAATCAGAAAAGAGTCGTGGACATTGGCATCGTAGTTCATGTGCACGGTTGTGCAGAGGGCGCCTCACACTGGGCACGTGTGGGGACTTTGAGTTCCCCAAGGCGCACGCATCCGTTTCTGTGCGGCGATATAGAGCGTGCGCAAGTCTCACTCGTGCGGGGAAAAAGAGCAACGGTAGCAGTAACCGTTGGAAGCGCTCACAGAGCACACTGAACACGGTCGCTAGTTTTTAGCTTCGATTATTCTTCCGTTGTCTTGTGTGATACCGCGATTTTTACACGCGGTCGCGTGTGTGTGAGAGCAAGCGGGCAGGTGCATCGGCTCCGGTCTGCCCACACACATACAAGTCCCGCTGTGAGTCGTATGCCGTGCGAGCGCAGAAATTGTTTTGTACCTTCGAGGCGCATACGTCACATCTGTGATTCACGTGCTCTGTGACTGGCAGGCACGTGCGCAATAAAGATACCAAAGGAAAAGAATACGCCTAGGTTGATTTAGGAACCTACCCTCCACTTGCAATCGACGAGAGAGCAAGAGAACAACAAAAACCCTAAACACAGCTAAAAGCGGCCCGTGACACCCATAGACATAGGAATACAGAGATAGAGCATAGAGTTGCAGGGAGACAAAGTTATTAGATATACAGGTTGCCTCATCCCTACTCTTTCGTGACGTCACTGTGAATCCTGTGCGAGAGAGAAAGCTATATATATCTATCTCACTCAGTCGGCGCATGCGCAAAATGCAATAGTGGCTAAACGCTATTAACCATGAATAAATGTTATTGTTAATAGGAAAATTAATACGAATTATTGCATGTATAATATATGCAAGTGTATATATATGATGTAAACAATATTTAATTATATATATATATAGTAGTAAATGCAACAAATATTCTATTATAATTTAAGTACTACAAAATTTATATTTGCATCAGAGAATATGTGCATGCAAGCAAGATTTATTAATTTATAGCAGTAACGGTATGTCTTGTTATTATTAATATTAACAGTTAACATTAACTGTTAATTAAACAGTTATTATTAATATAAACAGTTAATATTAACAGTTTGTTGTTGGCATTAATTAGTTCAAAGAAAGATAAATAAACTTCCAAAAAGCACATACATATTATTGTTATAAAAATTAATAAATAACACATCTTTCGATTTATAAGTTAATATTTATTATGAAAAATAATACATATGAGTAGCACATTTAAATTTGTGTTTAATGAATTATTTTTTGCGACTACTTTTCGTTGAGAGTCCTCGAGCTTTCGTTTCATACCAATTATTTTATGTTTGGATTTTAATTTTGTGTTCTGAAACTTTATGCGAATAAAAGTACGCTACAGTACAAAAGATTGAATAAGATCTATTGGTATTTTAGTGCTATATTGTTTAGAGATCCTTTTAACCACTGTTTTTGTAACATTTTTCCTTGATTTAAATACTCCATGTTTATGATATTTTATGATATTTGAACACTTTATTCATTAGATGTACATTATCAACCCATTCTTTCGTCAGTTCCATTAATCCTTCAAACGACAAGTGTTGAATCCATGATGGTAAAGAGTATTTATGTACGGTTTCATTTTTATTCGAGAAAGATCCCAAATTTGAATATTTACTGTTGAATTTTCGTGCTATCCATCCAGCTAGATAAATGAGGCCATCTTCCTCTGTATCACACTTCATTGTTTTGTTTGATGCTGAACTTAAGGATGATGATGATAATGTTTCGTTGTCTGATTCCTCTACAAATGGTTGCAGTATAACCGTTTCAATGAGTAAAATACTAGCATTCTCAAGTACTTTGTATATAATAAATTCGTCTTTGGATAAATCTTCTACATTGACATGATTTTGAACAATCTTTGAATTTTTCCCAAGTACAATCATCCTAATATGATATAAAGCATTTAATGGCGAAGGGTGATCATGTAAGCCCTCTTTTGTTCTGATTTGAGAAAAGAAATTTTCTAAACAATCTTGATTCAATCGATGCGTTAAGATATATTGTAAAGAAAACTTCAATTTCATGTCGTCAAACAACAATTTTAATGATGTTATTGCCATTAGAATTCCTGTTTGAAACACTTGAAGTATGGGATCTTTAATTTTTCTTGATATCATAATGTGTTCATGTAAACAGTTTGTTATTTTTGTAACAGACTGAGACTAAATTAGTTCTAAAATTCACCTGTTGCTTTCAATCTTCGCTTCGATGGTATATTTAGTAATTCAGCTTTTAAATCTCTTTCATAGTCTTCGGGCTTGAAATGTTTGGAGCAAATAAAGTCTGTGTGTGGATCCCAATTTTCATTTCGTTTGCACATGTTAATCCAGGCTTTTTTTATTTTTTTATCTTTTGGAAAGTGATGATATTTTATACTTGTGTCTGTTGTTTTTGTCCTCCTCAACATATTGTTGCAGCCAGCTACATTGCATCTAGTCCCAGGCATTTTTGCAAGCTTTTTTGCTACAATGAGAAGATGGAAACAGTAACATTTTGTTGCTATTCATCAAATGGTTTCACAAAATTTATATCCAGTAAACATGAAGTCAAAGTTATATAACTGTTAGTTATAAGTTCTCACTCGATAATGTAAATGTAATATAACATGTAGGTTATGTTACAGTTATATTGTCGAGTGAGAAATTACAAGATTGTACCTAACAGTTATGTTTTAAAGAAACTATATTTTATGCAGTTTATCTTTTTATACGGACCTAGGTACTTGGTATTTATAATCACACTTGGTATTTATCATCACATATGCTAAAGTTCCATAGAGAACCACTGGGGAGCCACCGAATGAGTTGCACTGGGATACACAATGACGTCAGTAGCCCCTCTTCCCGATGCATACTCTGCCTACAAGCTCATCAATGAGGCAACCTCTGTATTTAAAGCCAGCGGCACACAATGCTTGTTTTCGTGCTGGATTGCTTGCTGGATGAAAATACTGCGTTCTGATTGGTGCATTTTCATCCATCTTCGAAAATGTACCAATCAGAACGCAGTATTTTCATCCAGCAAGCAATCTAGCACGAAAACAAGCACCGTGTGCCGCTGGCTTAATAACCTTGGCGGGGGGATAACCATTGTGGGACGGTGCGACGAGGTAAACTGTGCCTAAATCTAATTGGTTGTGCCATGTGTAAGCATTTGATACATACATAGATGTGTATGAAGTTATGTGTGAGTGAAATTATGAAAGAAACTCTGCAAAATAACCTCTGCAAAATAATACTGTCAGTGTAAGTGTCGGTGATAAGAAAAGATAAATACAAATAATAGAATGGTGCAGTGTTGCGTTCCAAAGTGTAAGAACAGGTCCGATAGCCAAAATTGGAAAAAACCAGCAATGTGGACAAAAATCGAAAAATTACATTTCACATGTATAAAATTGCATGTACTGTAAAATAATAGTACTCAATTTTTAAAAAAGTTTTTTAATATAATATAAATATTTATGTTTAGCATTCCAAAAAATAATACCAGCCGCAATTTGTGGACCGATATCTTAAATCTTCCACCACATATTCCAAAAAGTGCACGTACTTGCTCTGATCATTTTTCAAAGGAATCTTTCGATCAGACAAATGGATTATTAACGTGATTAAGGCCAACTGTTTTGCCATTGAATGAATGTAAAAAGCATATAGAAACGGAAAAAAGAGAGAATGATTCCTTCATTGTATGCCGTAAGTAGATAAAGTAACAAATTTTTATACTTATTTATATTATTAGCATTTATATTATTTATGATTGGATAATGCCTACTGTTTGTGGAAGTTGTGGAGGTAATATAATTGCTAGAAATACAAATTATTCATTGTATTATTATATATTATATAAAATATGTTATGACGTTTAGCACAACCATCAACAACAGATAAGGAAACAATGACATCGATACAACCATGTACAGCAGAGAAAACAACAATGGTATCATTTAAAAGAATTTATAATTCTCCAGAAAAATGTCGATCGAGGAATCTATTAAAATACCAAAAAGAAGAGTACATGAAAAAAATATGAAATGTGCAGCACACAGTACATCGATATAACAAGCAACTTTCAACACTGAGAGATATTTTGAATGTGTTACGACAGAAACACTTATTGGAAACAGACCAAAGTGAAATACTACTTAACCTATATGGGTCTAATGACGATTTATTTAAACGTTTACGTAGTAAAGAAATGAATATAATATAATATTAATATAATATAATATAATATTAATATAAGTTTAGTAATAAGTATATTCATATATAATTATGTAATATATATAATAATAAATATGTATAAGTATTGTTTTGTTTCATAAAAGTTCTTATAATAAATAATATTATTTTATAGTATATATGCATATTTATTTTACTCATTATATAACTTCAATTCATTATATTACATAATTTCTATTCTTACTATGAATTTCTGTACAACAAAATAGTTCTTATTATTTTGTTACATTTACTATTTGCCAGTGACAGCAAAAGTCGTTGCATCACACGCTCTGAATATGCGCACTATTGTAGCCAATGAAACTTAGGCACAGTCGCCCCCCGCATTTCAGTACAACTCCCCTCGCCTATCTTACGAGCTTATGCTCTGTCTATATATTCCTATGTCTATGACATAGACATATGGTACATCATGAGAGAATATACAGTTAAAAGTGGAAGATCTGGTATAAAAAATAGAAAAACAAAAATAGAGGGATGGTAAAGAGAATATTAAAACAAATATAAAAAGCCTTTCAATACATTGACGGAGAAAAATTAAAACTTTCATGTTATTAATTACATAAAAAAGTAAAAAAAATCTTGACGTGCTTGATGCTTCTTTATCCTATGCATTTAATAAACAAAAAAAGGGGAAGAACAGGAATATTTAAAAACTTAAAATTTTTGTAAATGAAAACGAATCAGAAGAAGTTGTGCCTGACAAACTCGAAAACATCTGATAAGAACTGAAATAAGAAATATGAGCAAAATAAACGTTGTTCAGGCACGTAATTAGATAAATCTTATGCTAAACTTAATCTATCCTATATATTTATATATATATATGTATATATATAGTTTATTAGAATTTATATACATATGTATTACAAATAAACTAATTGCCATGTCTTACTTACATGTGGAATGATACTTCTTCGCCAGACGTCTTCCAATAACCACATGCACTACACGTCTTCATATTTTCATTTCGATTATATTTTTCTTCACTATTGTTAACTCTACTTTCTCTGCTTCTCTGCCTACGACGCGCGACGTATACTCATCTGATCGACTAGTCGGCCATTGCTGTCACGAATGCGCGCGCAAAAAAGGACAGACAGTCACCGATGTTTTGCCTCTCTCACAGTTCTGCCAAACCCACTTTCTTCTACAGAAAAGTATAGGGTATGCTCAGTCTATTGTATACCAGGTATGTCGGTAATTACTTTCCGGTTTTTGTAACAGATGTCACTAGCCATAAGTATGCAATGTTATGATTTGATACATATGTCATTTTATTCTACTGACATTAACCTCAAAACTACACAAGTTACGTTCCGCCAAAATAACAGCGTTATAGATTAATAATTTTTTGAAAATGTCGAGTATTGTGCCTGAAAACGTGCATTTGCGGCACGCATTACTTTTCTTGTTTAATCAAAAGAAAAAAGCCGCTGAAAGTCATCGTTTGCTGGTAGAGACTTACGGTGAGCATGCTCCAACCATAAGAACATGTGAAACATGGTTTTGACAATTCAAATGTGGTGATTTCAACGTTCAAGACAAAAAACGTCCTGGTAGGCCGAAAACGTTTGAAGATACGGAATTGCAGGAGTTATTGGATGAAGACCCAACACAAACTCAAAAACAATTGGCAGAAAAGTTGAATGTGAGCCGAGTAGCAATTTGTGAACGATTACAAGCGATGGGAAAGATCCAAAAGATGGGAAGATGGGTGCCACATGAATTGAATGACAGGCAATTGGAAAATCGAAAAATCGTCAGTGAAATGCTGCTTCAAAGGTATGAAAGGAAGTCATTTCTGCATCGAATAGTAACGGGTGATGAAAAATGGATTTATTTCGAAAATCCCAAGCGAAAAAATCATGGTTATCACCTGGCGAAGGCGGCCCATCGACTGCAAGGCCAAATTGCTTTGATCGCAAGACCATGCCCTGTGTCTGGTGGGACCAGGTTGGTGTCGTATATTATGAACTGTTGAAACCTGGAGAAACAGTTAATACTGATCGCTACCAACAACAAATCATCAATTTGAACTGTGCATTGATCGAAAAACGTCCACAATACGCTCAAAGACATGATAAGATGATTTTGCAGCATGACAACGCGCCGTCTCATACAGCAAAACCAGTCAAAGAAGTATTGAAATCACTTGGATGGGAAGTTTTATCGCACCCGCCGTACTCTCCAGACCTGGCTCCATCCGACTACCACCTTTTCGCATCGATGGGGCACGCGCTTGCAGAGCAGTACTTCGCCGATTTCGAAGAAGTTAAAAAATGGCTCGATGAATGGTTTAGCTCAAAGGAGAAACAGTTCTTTTGGAATGGCATCCATAAATTGCCTGAGAGATGGGCAAAATGTATAGAATCAAATGGCCAATACTTTGAATAAATATATTTTAACTATCCATTGTAAATAACGTGTTTTCTTTAGCGAAAAAACCGGAAAGGAATTACCGACACACCTGGTATAATGGAAGATCATGCGGATCTTTATCTGAAGATGACATTATGAAGAGAATGTTTTTTATAAATATGATTTTTTAAGTAAAGAGAGAGAGAGAAAGAGAGAGAGAGAGAGAGAGAGAGAGACAGAGATAGAGAGAGAGAGAGGAGAAAAGAAACATCAAAGTAAATTTTAATAACATTTTATATACATACCCTGTTGCAAGCACGTAATTAGGTAGCATTTATCCAGATATATAGTAAACATAGTAAAATTATACTAGATTGTAATATTATATTAGCTACATTATATAATAAATTTTGTAAAATTTTACAACATATAAAATAAGTTATGTTACTTTCACACATACAGGGTGATTCGTCGATATACAGTTTAATACGATGGATTGTCCATCCGTCGTACTGAACTGTATGTTGATGAAACACCGTGTACAAAATAAATTGCTTTAAACAAATTTATTGTAAATCTTTGTAATACCTACCCTAAAATAATCCATCAAATGAATTATATATATATATATGTGTGTGTGTGTGTGTGTATATATCAGGTGTAGTAAAAAGAAATCCATTATTTTTGCATGAAATTGAAGGCTTTAGTTACCATAGTTAGAATGATCCGAATATGCGCCGTTTTGTTTGATAACTTGTTGCCATTTTGAAGGTAATTTCATTATGCCCCTCTCATAGAAGCCCTCGTCCCTATTGGCAAAAAATTGAGACAGTCGATTTCACAAGCCTCTCTTGAAGCGAATTTTTCACCAGAAAAATTGTTCGCCATGGACAGGAACAGATGGTAATCACTTGGTGCCAGGTCCGGACTATAAGGTGGATGCATAAGAACCTCCCAACCAAGCTCCCGGAGCTTCTGACGAGTCACTATCGATGTGTGTGGCCTGGCGTTGTCCTGATAGAACACAATTCCTCTCCTATTGGCCAAAGATGGCCGCTTCTGGGCGATTGCTTCCTTCCGACGATCCAATTGTTGACAGTACAGTTCCGAGTTAAGAGTTTTGCCGTAGGGGAGCAGCTCAGTAGATAATTCCCTGCCAATCCCATCAAACACATAGCAAAACCTTCCTGGCCGTCAATCCTGGCTTGGCCACCGTTTCCGCCGGCTCACCGCGATTCGACCACGACCGTTTTCGCTTGACGTTCTCGTAAGTGATCCACTTTTCATCACCAGTGACCAACGGCTTCAGAAATGGGTCGATTTTGTTGCGTTTCAACAGCGATTCGCAGATGGAAATTCGGTCCATGAGGTTTTTTTCGTTAACTCGTGTGGCACCCATACATCGAGCTTCTTTTTGTATCCAGCCTTATTCAAATGGTTCCAAACGGTTTTTTGTGCAATCTTTAGCTCTTGGGCAATCGAAACAGTGCTTACATGACGGTCGGACTCGACAATGTCCATGATTTTATCGATATTTTCGACAATTGGCCTTCCAGTGCGTGGTGCATCTTTGACATCGAAATTACCGGAACGGAATCGACGAAACCAAAATTGCGCGTGATTGGCTGTTACAGTATCAGGACCATAAACACTATTCACATTTTCAGCCGCCTGGCTTGCGTTTTCGCCTTTATCGAAGAAAAACTGTAAAATATAGCGTATTTTCTCTTTGTTAGTGTTCATCTTTGACATGCGCTCAAACAAAACTGAGTCAACTAATCACAAAACTGTCAGAAAATTTTTTTTAGTACGAAATCTCATCTTTCTAACGCCATCTAGTGGAACCCGATCGGACTTATACAACGCGAGATACAGATAACTAAAGCTATCTATTGGAAAAATAATGGATTTCTTTTTACTACACCTGATATATAGATCGTGAAGGAGGCACCGCTAAAAAGCAAAATTTCGTGCCCTATTTCTGCTGCATTTCTGCTGTTACTTTCAAATGGCACGTCGTGTTCGATTTTTGCCTTGTTTCTGCCGTTGTGTTTCAACGGCACGTCGTAAACGATTTCTGCCGTATTTCTGTCGTCGTGTTTGAACTGCACGTCGTGAACGATTTCTGCAGTGTTTCTGCTGTTACATTCGAACGACGCGTCGTGATCGACTTCTGTCGCGTTTCTGTCATAATGTTCTAACAGCATGTTTTAATTGATTTCTGCCGTTTCTATTTTTATTCGATGATATAACACGTTGTTTGTTATATTTTCTATATTTCTGTTGTCATACTGTGACAACATATCGTGTTCT